ATCAAGAGTTTCAAGATGGTATCTTCTGTTTTGAGTATTTATTTATGGAACCTTGGATTAGAATCATTGCTTGATTTGTCTAGATTTGTCTAGATTTGTCTAGAATTGTCTAGATTTGTCTAGGACTTGTTGTTTATTTGTTGGAGTTGGTTTGTTGCATGTTAGTTTAATTTGGGATAGTTAAATAATAACTATGGGATTATTATTTAATAAAGAAAAAAAATGTTGGATAATATAATTTGGTAAGAATGGTTGGTTCTAGGATGTTAAAATTTGATTTATGGGAGTTAAACTGAATTTTTGGATGTGTGTTGAGGATTGCTAGACCATGGTTTTGTGTATATTGATTGATTGACAATGAGTAGTTAGTCAACTGATTGAACATGGGGTCTAGATTATCTTCTTCGAGCCTTCAATGAGATTCCATGGTAAGCTGTTTATGGTGTCGTTTTGTGTTCTTATTCTTTTTGTGTTAGTGTAGATGGCTAGGTGATGGTAGTCGTGCTCATGGACGTGGTCCCTGTCGAGGTTAAGTTGTAACCTCGGAAGTGTCGAGAGTGTGGGTCAGAGTACCACAACAGAGTTTGTCGGCGGGTCGTAAGCATTTCAGAAGGGGACGTTTGGTGGACCGAGTGTGAGTGCCGCAGCGACCGATGTGGTTGGTAGCGGTGCTGGTTTGGCTAGGGCCCAGTAATATGATCCTTGTAAAGAGATCAATGCCCCCTTTTAATACACTTTGTTTGGGACCGAATGGACGGTTCAAAAACGTGCTCAGTCGTGTGAAGGATGGAGCTCAGTCGAGCAGGTTATCGCGCAATAGTCGCGTGGTCGATGGTGGGGTCCAAAACGGTCGAACTGCTTCTAGCGGAAAATTCTTTACTCGGACGGGCGAGTAATGGCAACAATCGAGCGTCGGATCGAGAAGATGGTCGGATGGGTAGTTTAGGATGATTTCTGAATTAATAATGGATTGATAGAAACTTTCAAAGGTTATGATAATCCTTTGAACTTTCAGACTCGAACCTACTTGGGCATGAAACTACTCCAAAAGCATTCACGGGAAGAGGTTATGAAAAGACATATTTATACATAAACTCAAGATCAAACAATTTCATAAGAGGTTTTTTAATAATAAAAGGTTTGTTAAGTTATACAAAGGAAAGAACATAATTTATGAGGATTTAGAAGATATGACAACACACAAAAAAGACGAATTAACTTCTCTAGTTGTGGGTTGGGCTGAAGAAGAATTGGCTCTTGTATAAGTGTGTGGCTTTTTCTAATTAAAAACATTTCCTCGAAAATTCAATGGGACAAAACCGAAAGGAGGTAAAAGGAGTAGAAGTCACACACCTCCATTGTCTCTGCTTAAGTAGCTTGAATCACAACCAACGTGGCTGGATAAGCAGATTCAAGACTACCCTGAAGTTTTTGTAGTGTGGTGATATCTTGACATAATAGCTTCGTCTTCAATCTTTTCATAGGACCTTTAGGGACGTGCAAAGCTTCTTTCGCTCCAATATCTCAAACTTAAAGCTACTCCTTACCTTCAAACTCCTTAGGTTCAAGCTGCTTATTAGCTCCATGTTCCAAACTTTCCATGAACACATTATCTTCTCCCACTTGAAAAGGATTTGATCTCAAATTTGTATCTTTTGCAATAAAAGGAACTAGGTCAAAGCCTTTGAAATTGGAACTCATATTATATTTACCTTGCATCTCAAGTTGATAATCAATATCATTTGTTCGTCTTGTTATATAGTATACACAATCGACCCTTGACATCAGAATTCCTTTAAGCTTGAAATCATTTACCCCACAAGTGTTCCATTACTTGTTCTCCAACCTCAAAGATCATCCCCCTAAAATAAACAATGGGTTTATTGGCCTGCATCAAAAAAACTCCAATTCCCATCCTCACAAAGAGAGTAGAGAAGATAACTTTATAATATGGCCTGCACCTGCAATGTTTTGAACACCTTTGGCAAAGAGCAAGTGCATTATTATAGTCATGGAGTCGCTAAAAAAAGGCAACTAAACTCAGCATGAATGATACTAGGATTTTTCTATCAATTTTCCCTAGACTACTATCATGTCATTGCAGTACAATATGTATCAGTCCAGTCAGGTGTGATGCTAGCAATCAAGATATATCAGATATGATTAAGTTAAGCGAAGTATAAATGATTGTCGGTTTTCAGTGATCCTAAGCGAACATGTTAAACAAGCGTTAAATGTAAGGCTGTAAAACATAGACTACCATGCATAAACTAAAACGTAATGATTATTGATACTAGCAAGAAGACAAAGCGGAACAATTAAACAACAAGAGAATTAAACAGAAAGCACAAATGGATAGAAGATCCTGAGTATGAGGTTATTGATGTAGGTAGATAAGGGTATTGACAATTAGGCTGAGAAAGCAATTTCTGACGATGATAAAGAAGAAACTGCTTTTTGAAAGAGACACTTGTTTGAGTGATCTACAGGAACAGCAGGACGATGAAGAAGAAGCTGCGAATATGGAAGAAGATGGAGTTGGCAATGGTCAAGAGAATGCAATTTCTAGTACTGAAGGAATTCAGTTACCAGAGGATGGAGTGAAAGAAAAAAAAAAGAGGACCAACAAAGATGCGTAGAGTGGCTGAAAATCCTAATGAAAAGGTTGCAGTTACTTCCACTGACTTTGGTGATCATGTTGGACCTGGTTCAGTAATACTATCATCTTTTCTTGGTGCTCTTGTGAGGGAACACGTTTCAGTTACACTTTCTGATTGGCGAAAACTTGATGCAGTGACTAAACAAACAATGTGGGAAGAAATTCAGGTATATATATATATATATATGCAACTATTTTTGTTGAACAACTATGAAATTATAAACATGTTTGACCTTTGCTTGTTATGATGCAGGGGAGGTTTGATTTGCAAGAAGAGTGGCAGAAAGGTGTTATTTTCAAGCAATTGGGTAATTTTTGGAGGGCCACCAAGTCAAGGCTAGTGTCAAAAGTACGTGCTACGAAGACTGTTGCTGAGAGAATAGATTTAAAACCTAGCAACATCCCATCCATTCAAGTGTGGAGCTCGTGGGTTAGGAGCAAGAGTACCACAACTTTCATGGTTATTTTCTACAACTTAACTAAGTAACTTTCTTGTTCATAGGTCATGTTTGATAGATTTAATCACACTCATGTTTATATTGTAGGAAATAAGTAACATGTACAGAGAGATGAGAAAAAATCAGATTCCTCACACCACCAGCCAGAAAGGAATGCTTCGTTTAGCTGATGAACTGGTAATATTAGTTGTCAAAAATCTATATATTGTACATCTTGTTAGAATAAAATGGTATTGAGATATGTATATGTACTTTATAAAGAACAAAACAGTAGAGACCCAAGTAAGGTGATGATAACTCTATATTTTTACACTTTTAAGCATAAGTTATGAGCATCATTTGCATGTCTAGAGCCCTATTTCTCAGGAGTTTTAGCCTATTTCCATTATATTTCACATTTAGGATTGTTAGCATAGATAATTGCATATCATCTGCATTTTAGAGTAAAAACAGGCACACTCGGACACATCAGAGCACGGACCCGATCGGGTGTACTGAGCCTGACAAAGGTGAGCACGATCAAGCACCCAGACTTAGAGGAGGAAGCTGGACTCGGACGAGCCGAGAGAGGACCCGAGCGAGTCCAACATGAACCCGACCGAGCTCTTCTCAAACCGACTTTGTAATTTGTCTTTTTCTGTTTTAGGGCTTCCTGCCTTTAGTATAAATAGACCCCTTGGGTCATTAAGCAAAAAAATCGAGTTTCATTAGGGTTTTTCTCTGTAGCCACCAAACATTTCAAGAATCTTGTAATCTTTATATCTTTTGATCTATTGAGTATTTAGTGTTGCTTCTTTATAACATTTTGCTCCTTAGATCATTATCTATCTAGTTATGCAAGATTCAAAGATTTCTGGGTTTATGTTCTTCATGATGAACTCCAGATCTGAGTAGTTTTCTGGGTTTACAGGATGGGTTAGGTGATGAGGAATCTTAGTTTCTAGGGTTGCTTAAGTGTAGATTTAGGTAGATACCTTCTGGATTAGAAGATTAATTGCTAATCTTAGACATTCCAGCACTCAAAATGTGTTCAAATGGAATGTCTGATCAACTAATGCCAGAGATCTATTTACTTACCCAAGAGATTGGCTGTTAAGGAGTAGATTGACATTAACGAGCTTGTTCTTTATGCCTATCTATAGTATGTTTTATCAATGAAAGTTGAGATTAAGAAGTGATATAGATCTGATAATCTTTGCCAAGAGATTGGACTGATTAGGTTAAGTGGTTCATTGTCTAGGATTAGATCTATCTGAGCATTTTAAGCATCCCAAAGTGATTAAGAGGATTCATCACCCCATTAGCCCATCCTTAAGACCCTTGTTTATCTGATTGTTTACATGCTTTCATTTCTGCTTTTAATATTGCTTCTCTAGTTCTTGCATTCTTAGTTTCATTTCAGTAGTTCTCTTAGAGCATCATTATCAGCATAATTGCCAAGATGCATCTTATGGGATGGATATTATATAAATAATGTAATAGTTAAATTTAAGAACCAAACCAAATGTGATAGTTATTGGTTAAACCTGTTGGTTCTTAATTTTATAATAATAAAATAATATAAAATAAAATTATTAATTTATTTTTTTAATTATGAAAAAGAAAAATATATTAAAAAAAAAAGATACAAACATCAAAGATACATAAACTCTTTAAAATTAAAAACATAAACTTAAAAAGATACAAAAATAGAAATTATAAACTTAGAAACGTTTTTAATCATTTGGAAGATGTCCAAATTTCGTCCATATATTCTCAATCAAATCCTCTTTTAATTGGTGATGTACTTGTTTATCACGTATTCTTCTGCGACGATCACCTATACCGTCGAGATTTGTAGCCATATTGTTTGAAAACGTAATATCCGGGCCATCTTCTACGAATTATTGGTCGTCAAAGAGAGTGTATGAATGTCGTTCATCTTCAACAATCATATTATGAAGTATGAGACATGCTCTGATAATGTAAGCGATTTTTTCTTTTTCCCATAGAAGACATGGATTCTTAACCATGGCGAATCTTGATTGAAGGACTCCAAATGCACGCTCAACATCTTTCCGTGCAGATTCTTGACGTTTTGCAAACAACGAATGTTTCGGGGTTTGTGGTAGTCGGATGGATTGAATAAATGTCGCCCAGTCGGGATAAATACCATCCGTAAGATAGTAAGTCATGTTATACTTCCTTCCGTTGACATAGTAGTTTGCTTGAGGGGCATGACCTTGTATAATGTCATTAAATACCGGTGATTGATCAAGAACATTTAAATCATTACATGTACCTGGTGCTCCAAAAAACGCGTGCCATATCCAGAGATCTTGTGAAGCAACCGCCTCCAAAACAATAGTTGGCTTTCCGGTTCCTCGAGAATACATACCTTTCCATGCGGTTGGACAATTTTTCCACCCCCAATGCATACAATCAATGCTTCCAACCATCCGTGGAAAACCCCTTTGTTCTCCAATATAAAGTAGTCTTTGGAGATCTTCTTCTGTAGGGCGCCTTAGATATTCATCGCCAAATAAGTCAACAATTCCCACGACAAAATTTTCCAAACACTTACGAGCCGTCGTTTGACCAAGACGTATATATTCGTCAACAGTGTCTGCCCCACCGCCGTATGCTAAAAGTCGAATTGCTTGCAATGATCTGGCAGTCGTCGTTCTGCACCATTCTTCACATGCTGACTAGCTCCATAATACTCAGAAATCCTTTGCCAAAAGGTGCCTGACCTTTGGTCATTGCCCACAATCACATCCTTTGATGTGTTAAGCCACCCACTAATCAACACTAGGTCATCTGAGGAGTTCCATTGCCTTCTCTCCCTATTAGCATTTGGGGTGGCTTGAGAAGGGTTTTGGCTGCGAGTAGGGTTTTGGCTGGGAGAAGGGTTTTGGCTAAGAGAAGGGTTTTGGCTAAGAGAAGGGTTTTAGCTAAGATAAGGGTTTTGGCTTCCTTGAGATGGTTGTTGGCTAAAAGGTGGGAATTGGGTGGGAGGAGTAGAGCCAAAGTTGACATTTTGGGAGAAGCTGTCATAAGGAAAATTGTTTAAACTAAAGTACCCAGGTGAACCCCCATACGGATTGTTTGAATCCATTGTGAAAGTTTAGTTTAAAAAGAAGCAAAAAGAAAGTTGAAAGAAGTAGCAAAACAGATGTCAAAGAAGAAGGAAAACAGAAGGTCAAGCAAGGCACCAAAACTGAATGTCAACGAAGAAGAAAACAGAAGGAGGAAAGCAGAAGCAAAACAGAAAGGTTGAAAGAAGTAGCAAAACAGACGTCTCAAAGTCGAAGAAGAACATATGTATAGCAAAACAGAAGGTCATAGAAAAAGGAAAACAGAAGGTCAAAGTAGAAGCAAAACAGAAGGATCAAAGAAGAAGCAAAAAATAGAAGGATCAAAGGTAAAAGAAGAAGCAAAACAGATGGAGAAGAAGCAAAATAGAAGGATGAAAGAAGAAGGTAGATGGAAGGAGTTAATTTCTACAAAGTTCATAAAGAGACTTTGTAGAGTTATTACAGAAAGTTAAAGCAATGTATTACCTACTTCTATCAAATCACCATTCAAATATTAATGTAGCAAATAGTGCTCAACCATAATACAATGGTTTCTAATTATTAACAGTGAAGAATAAAGAAGATAGTTAAGTTTTAAGTGTAAATTTTAAGTTCTTCTAACTAGATCAATTCAAAACAATACAATGACTTATGTCAGAACAATATATATAACACAAATTCTTAGTTCACTAACCACCAGTCAGATGGATCTTCTATATATAAGACAATTTATGCAAGCATAGTTCAATTTAAGGTTTGAATGCTATTATATAAACAAATCTCATAAAGCTCCACAGACGGTTTACTTGAAACCAATGATAAACAAAGCTCAGACAAATGACCTAAGGATTAAGATCAATATACAACAACAATTTATCAAAAGACACCAAAAAGCAATACATACTTCAATTCACAACTCTTTTACAGTTCATCAGGCTCGCATTCAAGATCATGATATACATTACCTATGAACTAAAACGATTGAGTGACATACCTCTTAAGGGAGGAGTCAAATGTGCTGTATGAATCCGCTTGAGTTTTCCAGGCTATCCTAAACTTCGATCCTCAGAAACAAAGAAAAGAAATAATAGTTAACGATCATGTAAACACTTGTATCAAATGCATTAAGGTTAATCAGATCCTTTCTTAAACATATATTTCATATAGTTAACTCAGTAAATCTA